TTTATCTGTTTCTACATATGTGAAGAGATAAATTCCAATGGTTGAGTTAATTTTCCTTTTAAAGGTAAGTGAAAAGGAAGATGGTTAGTAGCTTTATTGTCTCTTGTCCAGCTCTAAAAGAGCTGCCTTAAATTATATAAGCTTAAATTTAAATTTCTTAGCTTAAAGATATAGTAGTCCAACTCTAATATTGATAGTAATATGCTGTAATACCTATTTATGAGGTTGCCTGGCAAGCATTCTGACCTTCAGCTTTGTGTTTGAAATTACTTTTCCATCTCTCTGTGAATGATTCATGTAACAAAATAGACTATATTCATATGCAAATTATTCGAATCTCAAGCATTGCTAGTTGAAACTGCATGTTCCACTTAACACGAAGACCATACATTAGAATCACAAATTAATTGAAAATTTTTCTGTAGAAGATTAAGCAAATCACTATTAAATGGGATCATCATCAGCGTGCTTTAAAAAATAAACCTGAACTGCAGCTTTCAATATCAAGTATTATGTTAAGGCTGTTCTCAGACTCCTGGAACAATATCCTCCATTTGACCAAGTCCTTCAGTCCTCTCTGGACTCTTTGCTATGTCTATGCAAAGTACTGATAGGTTGGGGGATTCTAGTGCTTAGTACCATGCTAAATTCTTCTCTAAGTATGCTCCTGTGTGATTAAGCATTTACCAACCCACACAAAATGTTATGTCCAAAAACCAGTCTTATTGTTCAGATAAGTGCTTATGTGAAATACTTAAATTTTTTAAGCTATTTTATGAAAACTTATTTTTTGGGTTTTTTGCAGAGTCTGTGTCCGTTCCCGTTGTTGGGATGCATGTATGGTTGTAGATGGAGGAACATCTTTTGAATTCAATGATGGGGCGATAGCTTCGATAATGATTGATACAGAGGATGCACTGTGCACTGTTCTGCTGGAAGAGTGAAGGACCCCACTGTCTTCTGCTGAAACAATTGTGGATCCAGAGAGGGAACTACTGGGGATAGACAGCACATCACAATGCTGCATTAAGTTGGAAGTTGGCCTTTTTGGATGGAAGAGCATTTGGAGGAAGCTTGAGATGCTTTTCACTCCTTTGGGTTGGGGAAATCTTAGCCTGATATTTAAGCTCTTTTTTTCATCTGGTGTAAAAGAAATATATCTGAAGTCTTACCTCTAGCTTCAGTGAAAATTGACATTTTAACCTGTAAGGCAAACATGGAAGAACATCTTTTTAAACACAGGTAGATGGGTTAAAAGTATCAAGTCAAGTAGCATTAAATATTCAGATGTACAGTTTTGTAGTAACAGTCTGGGACTGATGAAACTAAACACCTTCATACATATACTTTTGTAGAAAAGTTGACTGTCAATCTAGTGCTTTGATGCAAGGATATATAGATTTTGGTAAATCCTGATGTTGACATAATAGAAATGGAAATACAAACCTTTTATATGCTTTTCAAAAATTTTACAACTTTGTAGTTTCATACAACTTGTGACAATTTTTTTTGCTCTTCCAGTATTTTTTCTACTTTGGGGATTTACATTAATAGTAAAAGTCTGATTTAATCACATCCTGAATGAGGTAGCTTTTACCTTTTTGCTTTGGTTAGAGGGACTTGAAACCCAAGGGTTTTCTTGAGCCCTTTAATGGGGATATACAAACTATAGAAAATGTGTTGAAATACGATGTACTCCTTCACTGAATGTATTCACTGGCTAGCAGGTGTTCAGTCACAGTAGTATATGTAGGTGGCTATCATTAAGAAAAATACTTGGCCTTATCAAGCTGAATGGTTTGGAATTTTAGGTTCTGAGTTTCTTTATAATCAAGAATGCAAGGTGCTGGATGCTAGTGGTTGGAGCACAAGTTAATACCTATATGTTTTCCAAATGTGTGTTTTCAACTTCCCCAGAAAGTTTTAATTTCCAATTCTATGCTGAATTCTACTGATATTTAGTTGGCAACAAATTAATTTTAATTTTACAAGCCTCTGCTCATGTGTTAGGTAAGCAAATTGATACCAGGAAAAAAGCTCTGATTATAGAAGGGGAAATAGCTTTTTAGGTAATGTTTCAGAGAAACTGTGAACTATGACTGCCTTTGGAAATCTGTGCTGATCATTGCATAGATGAGAGGGCAGAGTTTGACAAAATGAAGATTCCTACAGCAGGAACTCTTCTGCTACGTGACTTGAAACAAACAAATGTGTTTTGTTCTGTCTACTACAGATCTGTTTCCAAAAGTGAGTTTTCTTCAAGCTACTTTTCAATGAAGAGACTTCTGTAACAGATGTTCTCAGGTCTAATGGAAACGGTGTCCAGTGTGGCCAATCAGTGTATTTATTGCTAATCACAAAATGTAAGCTGATCTTTGTAGGTGGAGGAAGTGGGTAAAGGATTTTTTTTTTCTACTACTAAAGTGTTTGTATTCACTGTAAATCAGAATTTAGAGGAAATTGATTGACCAGACCATTCATTTCGAGGAAAATGTGATAACAGATGGAGCTTCCTGAAAAAGCTATCTCTGTGTACATTTCACCTTTTAAGTGTGCTGCAGGTTGAGTTATTTACACTATCTGCTTGAGTTATTGGGATTGCAGACCAGAGGGGGAAAATCAAAGTAGCCAAATACTCTTTCAAAACTTGGTAAGTTTGGGAACTATCAGAATGAAGCTCTTAATATCTAACATGATCTGCAAAGCTGGTCCGAAGGTAAAGATGTGAAAGACTAACCTTTCTTTAAAGTTAGCTGCATGGAGACTAGGGTGTTTTGGTTATTCCTGATCCATCTGTAACCAGTTAAGGATGATTTATGTGCCTCTGTTTAGTACACTAGTCAATATGCTGTTAAGATTAAAAAAAAAAAAACAAAAAACCACAACACACCAATGCCATTAATTTTTATGATTTCCTAGGACTTCACCACTGTGTTAGATCAGAGGTGTAGGTATTTAAAGTGTCCTTGAATACCTGCATAGATGAATTTATGGCAGAAACCCTGTCCCCTACTTAGACATTTGTGTTCAGTAATGTTTTAATGGAGAGTGCTTAGTCTGATCAGGGTGCATACCTCTTAAAGGTGCTTGTCATCCTTACTATAAATGCTAAGACTAAAAGGCAATGTTTTCAGTCCTACAGACCCAAAGTATGATCTGGTTTAGGGCTTAGTAAGAGACTTGTCAGTCAAATTCCTAATTTACTTAGCAAAATGGAAACCTGACCTACTCATGAGTGACCTCTACTGGTTTTGTCTGTATTTAATTGCACTTCTGATGAAGCATTTACTGGTCAATGCTTGATTTAAATAACTAGGATGATTTGGAGATCTATAGTAAATAAACAGCAAGCAACTACCTTATTTCATTAAAGAACTGTAGAATCCTTTTTAGGGATCCTTTTATTACAGAGGATTGCAGTACAGACAACTTACCCAGCAGACAGTATTCTGTGACAGGACTGAGTATTGGTTTAATGCTGATTTAACCTGCCTGTACTGGCAGTGAACTCTGTACCTCTTCTACCTGCTGAATCAAATCCATGGTCTTTTCATTTAGTGCCAGTCCACACTGTGTTCTGCTAAACTAGACCTGTCATTCTTTGCTTTTTTTTTAAAAAAGTGGTGTTTATACATTATGTAATAAAAATTAAAAACTTAATAGATACCTAAAATTGTCCTGTGCCTTATTTCAACTTTCAAAAATGTTTCATGTTCTCAGCTCCTTCTCACTTACTGTGCAGTTTAAGTAATGGTTTCTAAGCCTTCATGTTGTAGGTAAAATGCAGACTTAATCTACGTAGCTCCAAGCAATCCATACCAAAAACTGCTACCAAATAACTTTTTTCAGTTAGGGGTAGCAGTTTTTGGTATGGATTGCTTGGAGCTACCAAATAACTTTTTTCAGTTAGGAAAAGGTCAGTGGTGCACCTTATGGAGAGGACTTCCATTATGTGTCTGCTAAGCTGCCATCATAACAAACAAACAGACCTGCAGCAGTATTTGTCCTCTTCCTTTGAGTCCTTGGTACTCAAAGAACCAAGTTCAGCTTCTAGCTAAAGCCATACTATCCCAATTCTGTACAGCGTTTTAAAGCACAGGATATTAAATGCCAAGTGTATTGGTGATTAACACCCTGTCCTCTAAACCACCATTGTTTAGACACTGGACAGATTTATCTTTTTTTAATCTGCAACACAAAGTTGGTGGCAAGTCAGGGGAAGTGTTCACCCATCCATCAGTCATTTTGTACAATACAGCAATTCCTTACATCTTTATTAAATGCAAAAGTATGAGGTTACATTGTGCAGAGGGAAGAATTCGCAATAGTGCTGTGCTGTAAAGATTTACTTTTTTTCCTTGAAGTAATTTAAGGCATAAACTTAAGGCTGCAAACTGTGAAGCAGCAGAATATCCAATGTCCTCCAACCTCCCATCCCTTCTCCACTCCAGCTTTCACAAGCCCGTTAACTCTTTTGTAAGGGCACAAGCCCATTAGTGACTCAAGTGTTACTTACCCTCTGTTAAATCTAATAAAATACAAACCAGCTTAGAACAGATTAACAAGACAATGCTGTATTTGCTATACTATAGAATGTCAAGTTAAATATCAACTGCTAGTAGTCATACAATCTTTCCACAGTAATTAATCTGTTCTGTACTACCAGATATTTATCCCCGAACTCTTTTCTTCAGATTGAGATGGAAACACTACACCTACGCAACAGCCCTACAGTAATGATGTAGGCTAACCTTAAGCATCCATTAATAATTCACCACCTGTTTGCTTGCTGCATTCATGGGAAGAAAAGCAGCATATTCATGCCCTACACAGGGTGCAAGTTTTGCCCTAGGACTTCTCAATGAACAAACACACCTGCTGGAACATTCTAGGCTTATGCATGAGGACCCTGATGACAGATCTAGATCAAATTTTTATTTAAAGTCATTATCTGTGCCTATCCTTAGTTTGGTTTTGGGGTTTGGTGGTAGGTTTTTTTGGACAGTTATTCAGCTTTTCCTATGACAAAAAAACCCCAAAACCCCACCCCTAGACAGTAGTAGTTAGTGTTACAGATAAAAGAAGTGAAATGATACTACAAACATAAGCTATTATAAAAGAGAAATTTATGCGTCTTAATAGCACCAGACCATCTCTTCCTTTCAGCACTCTTACACTGCAGTCCCAAAGTTTTGATTTTGGTCTCGAGATCTTGAATCACTTGGGCCCTCCTCCTGCAAGATTTCTGCCAATTTGTGAGTTGCAGTTGAAAGATCGTGTTCTTTACAGGCAGCAAGAGAACGTTTTTAAGACGTCGTATCTGAGATAAAGCTCACCAAAGCTACATTAAGGTTCTGCAACATCTAATCATAAAGCCTAGCACCACCACAAGAAACAGCTGATACAGGAAACAACCCACAAACTGGGCGGCTTCTCATCTTACTGAACATCTTGTTCAATTAAGGATTTTAATTGGTTTAATACCACTATTCGTTTTGAGTTCTGCCAACTCAAAGACAATTCCTTAGTAAGCCTTACTAAGACACCTAGCACCTCCACAAGCTGTTTCAGGAGTTGTAGAGCCAGAATTTAACCAAAAGGACCTTTAGAACACCTTAGAGCAACAATAGCTGCATCACAGCCTGCAACAGTTGCTAGAGGCTGACATTGTTTAATTACAATGATTGTTTCATGATATTTTTTAAAAACTCCCCTGTTAAAAAAAAAAAAGACAAGGAAAAATTCTAAAACTGCTCATAGATCATCAGATTTCTAAAGGCTTTAAGTAAAAAAAAAACCTCACTGTAAAAATATTTATGAAGCTACATTAAGGCGTAAGACCAAGTTAGAATGCTTTTTACAATAACAGTACTGTGATTAAAGGTGCACCAGCACTCTGCTTTTTAAGGAGTTTCACACAGTGTGTCCATCCCATCCAGTGCATTGTACATGATCATAAGCCACTAGGATTTCTCAGTGTCAATCTGCATTTGATCCCCCAAATCTCGTGGTTCTTTTTACTGCCAACAGTTGGCCTTGCAATACTTGTAAAGTGTGAACAATTGATCTTCAAGTCAGGAAGTGTTTCCTTGAGGAGCTGTAGGGAGCTATCAGTCACTATTCCAAATACCTGAAGAGTCTTTAATGTTGGAATTTCACCAAGTTCTCTAGAAGGAGAAAAATACAAAATTAATCATGAGCCTGAAGACTTTTTTTTTCCCCAGTCTGTACCCAAACTAGGTAACTCCATTTCTACTAATTTCTTAGAAGTAAGATAACTAATTAAGCTAAATTCCCCTTCCTACTTTTTAGAAGCACATATTTAATTGAAACCAGTTCTTTGTACTGATAAGTCAGGAAACAGGCTGCATAAATTGCTTCTTGCTGTTCTCTCCCTCTCTCCCACACAGAGTGAAAACAAACTGGTTCCTCCCCTTTCATTTCCCTGGACTTGAACGTTTAGAAGAAGTGGAAGGAATTGCCCCAGATGAAGTCTCAGGATGTGGCTCAGAGGACACAAGCCCCTAGGTACTATCAGTCTCCAATTTGCTACGACACTTTGGTGAGTAGCCAGCCCTGGCTTCTCAATTGCTTCACATTTGCCCAGTCATCATGTGAACTGTGTATCTATAAGCAAGTGTTGGACAAAATCGAAAGGCAGAGACATACAAGCTGTCATCGTGACAGCACACGCTTTAAATTCCCTTATGCTCTGCATGAATAGCAAACCAAAGCCATTTAGGGATTACTTACACTAAGGCAGCAGGTGATATCTGATAACACCGGCTAAGACACAGATGTTGTAGAAAGATGAGTTGATGAAAAAACTGGAAACACTCAGGTTTCAACATCACGCTGTCACTGTACATGAGAGCACATGAAATAGAGGTTTAAGTATAAAATAGCAGCAAATCTGGCATTTCCAAAATTCAAACTGAGAAATGTAACGAGTATCAACTTCTTTTTCTACCACCCATTTCTAACAACCCATTTCTAGTGTCATATATATGTTGTGGGGGAGGGATTTTGATTTTCACTGAAGGGCAAGTGAAGCAGAAGCTTCTCTGCAGGCAGATACTCTTCAGCAGAACTCATGCCATGAAAAGGCAGTTACTTTACACATTGAGATTTCAAAATATTTTAATTGAATAAGTCAAAACCAAAATACACTTTTTTTTTTTTTTTAAAGTTCTATGGCCAATTAACAAATTTGAGCTGAACTAAACCCTCTCTAAGTGTGCTAGGCTCATAAACTGTATGCATCTAAATGCTTCCTTCCACTCTACCTCTCGACTACAATCACTTGTTAGTTAACAAATCCTGTATGCATGTAACATTTATGCCAAGGCAACAAAGAAATCTTCAGGTTACCTACCCGCTCCAGTTTAGGTCATGCCAGATAGGAAATCTTTTGTAGGTTTAGCACAGGAAGTATTTTCTGGTTGGGCAATCCTACACAATCATGCGTTATTGCTATATAATTACTGCACCACAGGAGAATTGGCAAGGCCCTGAACCATAGGGATTTAAGGACTAGCTGCACAGGTCTTCTTACCTTAGATCTAAATGGACCAGAAAAGGACATCTTTCCACCAGTGTTTTAACGTCTGAAAAGAGGTCACACAGAGTCAGTCCATCTTTCAGTAACAAGATGAACGTGATTTATACAGTCTACGCACTTCCACGCATGTTCACTTACATGTTCTGTACTGGAACCCAATAACCGAAGCACAACTTTTTGTTAAAAAGATACACACTGAAGACATACAGCATATCGTCTGCCTATCAAGATACCTTATAAGGACTTTTTTTTAATCCTCAGCAAAACAGATCCATTTAGTCCAAAGAAGTGTCCTTAAAAGTCAATTCCACCAGCAACTTGGCAAGTGAATCATTCAAATAATAATGCTGTAAAAATCTACCGAGACACAGTAATGGCGAGATGCCTGAAATTCTTGCATGTAGTGAAAAAATAGAAAAAAAATATTTCCACACATGAAAGACCTTTTCAGAGCATCAAGTTCTTAAGGAGTCTCCATTTTTAACCACAGAAAGTACTCTCCTCATGACAAAGTTGCGGTTTTCCTGAGTTAAACTGTAAATTCTCGAGACCATCTTTTCATTGTCTACAACCAGCATAGAATCACCCACAGCTCAGGTATCACCTAAAAGGCCAGTATGATTAGCAGGGTGCTAATCAACATGCAAGAGGATTTTGGTATTTCAGAATTTACTTGAAAACAACACCTAAATCATGAGAATTAGTGAACTATTCAAATCTTATGCCTTATAAATTGCATTAAAACAGTAAAATTACTCATAGAAAATGTTTTGCAAACAGAAGAGCTCTGCACATTGTCTCTACGGGTCAGATCAACAGAAGGTTCAAATTCCTGATTTGAAGATTATGTAGCATGTTTGTTTATGGGTTTTGGGCTGAGATAAAAAGACTGGTCCCTGCCCACAAGAGAATGCATGCCAAGGTCTGTGTGACATTTAAACAGGAAAAAAAGAAAGGTCACAGCCTGTGTGTCACCTACCTGCTTGTCAGCCACTGCCATCATCGCATTTGCTCGCTGAGAAAATGAATTTCTCTTTACTATCAAAGACATTTCACCCTTTATGCTCTTGTCCATTTTGTTGTGCTCTCTTCCCAAATCTGTATTTCTCTGCATTTTCTATTACCCTGTAACCCTACCCAACTTTCCCTCCTAGAACTACAAGCAAGTAAATAGTTGATCGCTGAGTTGATCACTGTTGATCACTGAGATTATTTGCCTTCCAAATTAACTGGTGTCTGTAAGACATCATATCAGCCTGAAACTCAAGTAGTTACTGTGACTGTTCTCTTTTGGAAGATGCCTTCAGCAGCCACAATAGCAGAAGCCTTTAAGAAGGCTCCAAGAACAGTATCTGGAAGGCTAATTCGCACTGGATCCCATGTTCCACTGTGAACTGTATCCTGCTTCCAGGAATAACTTCAGAAGTAAGGGCCTTTCAACCTAAAATGAAATGAGCTTTCACCTGACTATTTTTAAATTCAGAACACAAATCATCTCACCCATCACTGCTGAGCCAGAGACATGCATAAGATTATCTGACAGCAAGAACACCAAGCTATACAGAGCACAAAAATCAGTGTTAGTGCATGGTTGCTCTATACACTCAGTGGATGCCAACCAGAAGAAAATATAAAGCTTGCTGCTTTATCCCATAGTGGGATAAAGGTTTGCCATGCTGCTATTTACCTGGTATCTGTAGATTCTGTCTGTATCCACTTAAATTTAATTGGGTTACTCTTGAAGTAATATGGTTGACTGCTGCTTTGACATGGGTGGCTGTGAAGTCACACCAGGACAAGTTCAGCTCGTCCAACCTACACACAGATGAACAAAGAGCTGTTTAGAAGAATGAAATACAGTTTGAGTTCTGATCTTATCTGTTACAGTCAATACTTTTATGGCAAAAACTTGTAACACACCTGCTACCAACTTCCTGTATTCACGACTACAGATTTTGCTATGACAGTAATTAAGCACCGGAGCAGGTTGCCCAGGCTGTGGAATCTGTCTTTGAAGGTTTTCAAGATCCAACCAGAGAAAGTCCTCATCAGCCTGGCCAGTGCAGAATTTAGACCCTGCTGCTCTGGGCAAGGGGTTGAAGTGACTTCCCAAGGTCACTTCCAACTAGAATGATTCAGTAACATCTCAGGAAGTGAAATGGTTCTCTCCAGGGACTGCCACGGGGAGACACTGTCTTTTCATCTTACTTCTGGGTTTGTGACCTGAATCTGTTACTACTGAACAGATGTTCACATTGAGAGGAAAAAAGGCTGTCCATTATTAGCATTGGTCAGATGACCAATTAATTCTAATTAGCATGAAATACTTTGTAGTTTTATATAAGCATTGGCCACACTGTGACCTAACTAACTCTTTACATGCTTGATTAGCTAGAGCCTATCACCATTCAGGGCTGGGACAAAGTTTTTGTTTTATGTGCAGGTGTTGTAGATGTAACCAGAGGACAAAGATGCAGTGAACAGCACAACTAGAGCATTTAGCTGGCAATCTCTACGTATAAGAAAAAACAGTTAAAATTGCCACTGGCATGCCTAGGATCAGGTTTGCCATCTGCTACGCACTGTGCGCTGTACAGACTGCCATTCCCTAAAGAGCTCATGATCCAAGTAATTAGACCAAGAAACAGAAGTTATCTACCCACGAGAGGCAGAGAAAGATTAAGGTTTTGCCTGTCCACTAACTTGCAGTTTGATTAAAAACATGCTTTTGCAGAAGCAAAGGTTAAGGAGATTGTCCAGCATCTCACAGAAAGGTCAGGATATAAATCCCAGACTGACTGGGGCTCAGTTCAGTGACTTCCTACCAGCAGATGGTTTAATCACTGGAGCTGTCAATCTGAACACAGTGCTTCATGAAGTAGAAGGTTACTCAAGGATTATTCTATCATGGATGGATGTTTTCTGCCATTCACGCTGTACTCTGATTGCAGAGGGAGCTCTGGGACTCTACTTTTCAGTTTCGAAGCACACACTTTCCATTTGTGACGATCACATAGTGCTTTCATTAAGAAAATCAAATGTACATGATAATCAAAAGAACAAAAACCCAACACAAGACTTCCTTTAAGAACAATCAAGGAAACTCATGAAAAATCGCTGAAGTACATCTTTGCTATTAAAGAAGAAAACAGCTTGATGGAAAGAAACTATCTGACTATTCAGCTAATAATGAACTATTAGGCATTTAGGAACAGAAAATATAAAAAAATACAAAAGGCATTAGAGAGAAGTACAGTTGGGATGCCTGTGGAAAAAAAATAAAAAGGATCCTTCTTCTCATGAGTAGCAAAAACTATTTTTGTCTTACGTAGAACAGCTGTTCAACATCAGCTCCAAGGCTTCTGCAGAAAACCCTGAGCACCCACAGAGATTTAGTCGTATCAAACCAGGATTCTTAGCAATGCTCCTGTAGAGAAGAAAGAAGAAAAGTCTGATAAAATTTTGATGTTGGAACACTGCTGGCATTGCTAGGATATGTGTTTATTTTTAAGAGCTAAGATCCCAAGCACAGAATTATTTGTTAAACATGCACCATTGCACCTTCAGTAAACTGACCAACCTAAGAGTCCGTAAGGATCTCAACTCTGTACTTGCTGCGTCATAGCACAACTCTGAAAGGAATACTTGCCTATCTACCTGGCATACATGACAAGTCTGCAAATTTATAAACTGAAAAGTTTAAAAGGAAACAATTTCTTTTCACCTTCTCCTGTTGTATGCCATTAAATACACACCATGGCTTATTAGAGATGACTATGCCTCTACAAAAGACAAAGCAATCATCCCATTTTTGAAGTCACCTCTCTGCAAGATGGAGGTTATTCCAGAAGAAAATGCATGTCCAAATAGCATCTCCCTGAACACGTTTGCAAGACTAGAGCAGACATGCAGTTGGCAACATCTGGAAAAACCCTTACACCCAGTATCTACATTTGTACACAAGGCAATAGAATCCCATCATTGGTGCCTAATTAGTGCCAAATTTTCAGAAACTTTTTGTCTGGTGTCAAAAGTCAAACTATATTGGTTTATTTGTGCTCTGGGTTTTTTTGGGTTTGTTTTTTTTTTGTTTTTTTTTGTTTGTTTGGTTTTTTTGTTTTCCCCCTCTGGTGTGAGGAAGGCATCAGAAAGCTCAAAAGTAGAAAGCAGGACACCCAGAGTCTCTGCCATCTGACCTATGGTCCCTGGCACCTCCACAATCACCTGAACAGGAGGTTGACTGCACACCCATTGATGTTTTCTAGTTTAACCAAACAGTTCATCTGCTTGACAGAATCTGTAAACTACCAGACAACTAGAGTGAAGTTCAATGAAGAAGTGAGAAGTAGTGCAAAGCACAATGAGTATCTGGTGGGAGACCTGCTGAGACCCCTTAAAACAGAAAAGAACCTGTATGCCAAACACTAAGTTATCTTGCGAGCACAGAAATAGGAAAATAAAAGTGGCTCTGCTGTACAGCTTGGCTGTGGGAACAGCCAAGGGAGACATAAACCCTAGACAGATGAGCTGTTTCCCCAGGCTCCCCGTACTCTCGGGAACGAAAAAAAAGGCCACCAACAAACACCTCTTCCAGAGGGGTGTTTCTTCCCCACCTCATCTCTTGGTGGATGGAGAGGAAAGAGGCAGCTCATCTAGCCTGCCAGCTAGCTCTGTTAGGTGCCTAAAACTGGCTGTTTCAAAAGACTCTCACAATGAACAAATCTCAACTGCATTCTTTCGCTAGCCTGCACAAAATGGTAGCACCAAACAGAAGGTATTTACTTCCCAGCATGTCACTCACTTGATGATGTCATCAGATAGGACTAGTCCCTCCAAGCTGAGGTTCTGCAGCCTTTCACACAGACACAGAATACTCTGGAGGTCTGCAACAGAGACTGTGCAGTTCGACAAATCCATATGTTGAACTCTGAGAGGTCTAAAAAAGGAGAAAGGCAGGTTACTAAAATTGCATTAAAACCTGCTCCACAAATTCCCCATACCATAAGTATACCCCATACACTAAAGCTATGCAAAGCTTGCGGAAAATAATTATACTGTTGTATTCAGCTGCACATTGGACATACCACTAAGCTCACTGGCCCTTCTGCTAAGCTACCAGCCCAAAACTGCAGAACTCCTATCCTCAAGGCATGTACAGGATTTGTCATAACACCTGAGAAGTCTATCCAGCTGAGTTAAATAATTTTTTTCAGCTTCCCCCATAAAAATGCTGGAGACGTTGACAATTCTTGGTTCTACAAGGTATAAATTGCAAGTGGATGATGGTGCTTGATACTTTCAAAAATTGCATTAACTTGGTTTTAAATAACTGACAGGTGAACACAGATCCTCTTATTTCAACACATGCCTAACCATTGATCAGCTCTTCCATACTCCAGAGACAACACGAGTGCTACTACTGGTGGAGACCTTAAAACCAAAAATACGCAAGAGAAACTGTGAATATCTGAGATGTGGCTTCAGGATCCAGAACACGCAGAAAAAGCCTTACTTGCTTGTTTTAAACAATGGATTCCCAATACAAGATCTTGGGCAGCGGAATACAGTAACACCTGCAGGCAGCAACTGTCCAATCACTCCTGGCAGCAGATTTCTACCAGTCAGATCAAGAGTCTGCCAGAGAGATTCATCAAACCTAAGGCACAGAATTTTACTTGTTAGCGAGTTAGAAAGGGTCAGAGCTACAAGTATAACCACAGAAAGTTTTCAGTGTCACAAAAGGCTGAGAGGAAGGAAAGCTATTTAATGGAAATTACTAATGTTAAAATGTGAGCCATCTTTTTATTATACATATTTATAACCCAAATAGAGCATAAACTGAATTATGAATGAATAAACAAGCCGAGAAACAGGTCATTTAACAGTCTATAGAAGCAAAGGTTTTCTTTGTACTAAATACTGAGAAGTAATACTTACGAAAGACGATGCCATCTCTTGCAAATCAGGGAAACTTTTAGCAAGTCATTTAGGGGCAAATACGCAAAGATTGCCAAAAGTAATTCATCTGGAAGTGCATTTTCAGATGCCTTGTTTAGCGTGGTTGTTAAAAGCACCTCTACAGTCTCTCTAGGGTATACAGACATCAGCCCACTACTTACCCCCCTTTCAGCTCTTCACTGTAGGAAGAAATTATTAACCATCTTTGCCTAGGTATGACTGGCAAATGCAAAGCTTTCCACTGCATCAACTAAAGCTATGGAAAAACAAGTTTCCTAAAAAAATGACAATAACCTTTACTCACATGCTCATTTTGAAACAAGAGCATCTCAGTTAATTCCCTTCTGTTCTAAGGCTTGTACAGTCCTATTTTTTTTCTCTGCCATGCCCATCTGTCCTATGCATGTCAGGCTCCCAGAAGGGGAGCTATGCTTTTGAGTGGTACACAGAAAAAAGCAGATACTGCAAACTCTTAAAACTGCCACACCCTCCCCCCCTCCAGAATTATCTGAAAGGATGTGGTGCAATCTCAACATCTCACGAGTAGACACAGGGCTCCAGAAGGTGTTGCCGTTCACATGGGAGATTTCTAGGCGGTGGAGCTCAAGAACAGCTGCCCGTGACCCAACACTCCATCTTATTTAAAAGCAGGGCTGATGGAAGGCATTCCCACCTTTCACATGACAGTCTAGTGTCTGGAGAAAGCTATTTATTTTGCATTCTGTAGTTGCTGCAGACTGAAAACACATTTTGATACCAGGAAAAGGAACCCAGCATCCTATAACCCCTTCTCCAAGTGCCCCAGGCCTTCACATTACAGCCCTGCCCTTTTCCTGCCAGTCCCTTTCCAGCCCTGGAGCCTTACGTCCTTTGCTGCACCTTCCCTGTTGCTCTCTGGCAGGGTCCCCTGCATTGCTCACAGCTCAGCTCCAACAGGAACGGGGATGTCCCCTCTGGCATACCTCAGCCTGCACCATGAGAGATGTGGACCTGGATACCTTTGGTCTCGAGGACCAAGTATCTTACTTCTTAGATGCTTAAGATAAAAAAAAAAATAAATTTAAAAAATCAGGCCCCCCTGGGTTTCAAAATTGTACTGGAGACAGCAGCACCAACGGTCCATATTCATCTGACAGCCACAGCTGTATTTTGTGAAGATCCTGGCCCTGCTTGGTATGTGGTGAAACATCTCTTGGAACAGGTCCCCTGGGCAGAACAACAGAAGCAGCTCAGGGCCCTGCTGGGCCAAGTCCCAGGCAGCAAGAGCAGACAGACACAGGGACACACACACAGACAGGGGCTGGTGGGGCTAGGCAGTAGCCAATCATGGCTTACGTAGGCCACAGCTCTGGAGCCAGGCCACCTCTGCTTGAAGGCTTACATAAAACAGGACTTATCATCCCAAGCCTGAAAGCCACTAGGTCTACAAGTAATACTCTGCTGGGAAAGAGCAAAAAACCAAAGCACAGAATAAAGTACTAATGACTTGTGATGCCCGCTCTCCATCTCTCCTGAAGGGCGAACGAAACCTGGACCAGGGTGATGGTACCTGACTCTGCCTCGCGGAGCAGCCGAGGCCGGCGCACGATGACAAAGTCCTTTTCCTTCTCCTTCACCTTCTGCCGTTTCTGAGGAGGACAGGGTGACGACACCAGCAGGTCCTGAGGGGTGTTTTCATTGCCCAGCTTATCCTTCTTAAGGACAGACACTCCCATGCCCGAGAGGAAATCCGAGGTCTTGCTGGAGTCCCAGTCCCAGGTGAAGCTGCTGGAAACATTGCTGCTGGAGGACGGGATCTCCTGGAGGTGCTTTCTGCAGGCACAGCAAAACCCGCAGGCTCTCAAGGCGCCGCCGGGCCGACGCCGAACACGAGATGGGGCTCCCCGTGCCCCGAAGCGCTCCGCAGCCGCGCACAATCCGCATCCC